GGAGTTTCCAATCCACTTAATTTAGTATCTAAGCAGATAAAGAATTGCAAATTCGTTTTAGTGAGAGTACTGTTAGTATTTTCCAAATGATGTGCGTAAGGCCTGGCCATAAGATGTGCGGGACTCGAGGCAGCGAGCGATGAGTGGGGACCCAAGCATAACAATTGCATTGCGTTGTTCATTTCCTACCAATACGGTATTGGCCATACCATATGTATTAAAAGTAATGCGAAATCGAAATTAAACGGGTTAATGAATACAAATTGCAAATCAGGCTTTTAATACTATCATGTTACTATGAAAGAAATAATTATTTTATTTATTTGAATATCTGACAATAAAAAATGAATGTTAATAATTAAAATATTTTAGCATCCTTCTGATTGAAAGTTTGTTAGTTACTCTCTTTGGCTGTAAACTTTGTGTATTCAGCGTGCAGCCCGTTGCTATATCATAATTTACGAGGCAACTTGACTGCCAGTATTCTTGTTAAGCATCTCACCACAGCAACAAAAAAAAAAATGTAAAGCCAAAAGCGCGGGGGCTCAAGGCGGTAACCTTGTTTGCCTTGCCCTAGGATTGGGCCTGACATGCGTCATTTTTCGAAATTTGAAAGTTTTAATGTGACTTCTGAACCACAATGTCAACAGAACATGGCCTTGTATTTGTGTCCATTAGCTCTATACGTGGGACTACAAAGATTTGATTTTAATCAGACTAAATCCTCAGCCGATTATTTACTCCTCAAGTAATAGTCACTGAACTCTCCTGATCCTGTTGGTAGTGATCTTTTTTTCTTGGACTTATATTACTCTTAGTAGTGATCTATGTATTGGACTTGTTTATTACGGTTGATATTGATTTTTCCCCTTTTGGCTTTCATCCTATCAATCAATATGGCTTCCAGGCGTTTGTCAAACATAAAGGTAATCAAGTTTATATCTTCCATTAACGGAAATCTGTAATAGTTTAAAAATAGTTAAAGACGCTAGGAAACAGTGACCTAGATGTTGAAAAATCAATGACAGTAGTTTATAGAGAAACCTTTTAATAACTACTGTTGTTTTGTTTTTTCTTTCGTCCTTTTGGACGGGAACTTGTGTCTTTTGGAGGTGGGATGTGTTTCAATCATTTGATATATACATATCACCAAGAAGGGCATGACATCAGTTTACTCGGGTACATTTAGTGGTATTAATTTGGATTACTCTAGGCACGTGGTTTATAAATATGGTCACAAAAACGCAAACTATGGCATAAAATATATCATGCAAAACAACCTAAATTTACTAACATGTAGACTCAAAACACTTTATTTGATATGGGTAACAACTTAACACCATTTACTTTTACTGCGAAAACTATTTTGTTTGTACAAAACATTACTAACAGCTGAATTAATATTTCATTACTTGATTTAAATGATATTGTTCTGATTTTTTTGTCTTAATTATTGGTGATGAGAAAATAATTTTTCAAAACTGTCTTGTGTTTTTGGAGGCATTCAATAAAAAATGAAGCATTCATTTATAGTCTGAAGAGTAAGGGGATATGGGAGGATATTGTGCTCTATTTATTCCATTAGGAACCGTTTACTATAAAACAAATTAGGATAACATTCACATTAGATGTGCATACACATACGAATACGGGAGTTCTGCGTGGCCCAGTTGTCTAAAGCGCTCGTAGTTACAGATCACTGCTCTCCCACCTCTGTCTGCGTGGGTTACGCTTGGCCAATGTGGGTATGTGAGAAAGCTTGGCAGTAGCTTTGTAGGTCGTTGGTTCTTTCCGGCATTTTCCTGGGTTCTTCAACCACCATTTCTACTAGCTGCTATGTATAGCCTATATTGTACGGAAAAAATACTGTTAAACATACAACAACGACAACCTACATACTCACCGGAGCAGTGGGTGCTGTTTTATATCCTCTGGACAGGCCTTGGTCCTGATGCTGGAGATTGGACAGATTTCCAGGTGAACTTTGTCCCTCAGAATCCGCTGATAGAGTTCTAAATCATCCAGTGCATGATACCCATGTCCGATTCTCTCCGCATGCATGTGGTCCAGCGCCTTGGATATACACAGATTCATGAAGTAAAACTAAATTTCATTGTGTTCCAGAAATACAGATATGTGACCTTCGCAATTTGCACAGTATTTACAATTAAACTAAAATGTTAATCACCATATCTATCAAAATGCTCTAACGTGATTTACCTTACGGACTAATGCACTTGATTATTATGTTAATACAATTTAAACTGGTTTACTACTACTACTATTACTACTACTGCTGATGCTAATAATAATAATATTAATAATAATAATAATAATAATAATAATAATAATATTAATAATATTAATAATAATATTAATAATAATAATGATTATGATGATAGTGACCATAGATATCAATATGAAATTTGAAATTAACAAGCGCTGAACTCTAGCGCAAATCCTGTCATCATGCAATGACATTCGGTATCATGTTTCCAGAAGACGTTAGATGAAGGCACCTAGAGAAGGTGAAGGCTTCACTTGTCTGTAAATATTTTGTATAAAGATTGTGAATCATTGTGACAATAAAATAAGTTAAGTACAGAAATAAGTGTAAAAGCCATTATTCGCAAATCATATATGGGTAACCGAATCATAGTGATGAATATGTATAAATATATAGGCAGACTGAATCATCGGGTACACAGCCGATACCATAAACTGTACGAGCTAGGCGACTATATAAATTCGACACGAGTTAGGCGACACCATAAACTGGACACGAGTTAGGTGGCATCATAAACTGGATATGAACTAGGCAACATATTAAATCCTAAAAAAACACGGTGTTCAATGTACTCTAATGTATACAGATGATATAAGAATGTACACAGATGATATATGCCAATGTACTGTACACAAATGGTATATACCAATGTACTGTACACAGATGGTATATGCCAATGTACTGTACACAGATGGTATATGCCAAAGTACTGTACACAGATGGTATATGCCAATGTACTGTAAAAAGATGGTATAATCCAATTAACTGGACACAGATGGCATATGCTAATGTACTGGACACAGATGGTATATGTCAATGTACTGGACACAAACGGCATGTGCCAATGTACTGGACACAAACGGTATATGCCAATGTGAATAGCAAAAGAAGCTACTGTTAAGCGCATAGTTTATATCAGGAGAAAATGTTCAGAAAAGGGAACGAAGTGCTGAACCAATACCAACAGGGAGAAAGACAGAAATCTATAGAAAACATCAGAATGGAAGTAAAGTTCGATGCATGAGTAGATAAAGAGAAAAACAGCATTGGATAATGGTGAGAACACCCGGATCTTGTTTAGGTAAATATTATGCTCGAGACCATTGATTGGACAAATCTGATTTAATTTAGTCCAATCAGATTGAAGTAGATCTGACTAAGCGGAGATGAAACACAAATAGAACTGATTCGCTACAGATAAATAAAATACAAATGATTCTTACGCTGCAAATTCTACGGAATTTCAGCCTACCGTACGCATATATACATAACTTTTCAGCATGGTTTCAGCGAATTGATTTAGCAGAATTGCAACATTTATTACCAGCAGATCTGAAGCCACAGTTCAGCATTTTTATGCAATGTTAACTAAATTGGAGCTCTGTACATTTTGCACGTTTTAGAAACATCAAGCGATAGCTTCAGTGGAGTAGCTGAAACTAGTAATTTTGCAGAGTTGAATCATATTTTAAACCAAGCTTCTAAGTGGAGCTGAAGCAGATTAATTCAACGGAATTAAAGCCTGAAGTTCATACTAACTGAATAAATAATTTTAATTTCCAAAACTTTACTTCAACCTCCAAAAATGAACATATTTTTTACAGCTTATAGTAGAGTCTGTCTAACATTTTTTAAAAATTATATTTTTTGACAGTTGTAGTCACGTAAATTTTCTTTGAGCTCTATTTATTAAAAGTTGAAACAGAATTGCAACATTAAACTTAAAAATATAGTTTTATACAAACAAACAAGGAGTCACATAGTCCAATTTGGCTGCAAATATAACTGACATTCGTCAAAATAAAGCAAATATTGGAGGTATCTGTACGAGTTGCTTCATCAGTGTTATTCAAATTCATTCTTTTGTCTAGTGTTTTAAGCTATCGATGACATGAATTAACGCTTTTCAGGGGTTTTTCAATTTACAGTTTAAATGTGTTCACACATTGTTATGCATCATTCAGCATACGTGAATTAAAACCTAAAGGCAGCTGACAAAATATAAACTGTCAGAGGATTTCCAACAGAACCACAGAAAAGAATTTAAAAAAAACCTTACAAAGATTATTGAGCGGAAATGCAGTGGAAATCAGTAGAAACTGGACGTCCATTGCAAAAGGTGGTATCATACATTATTCGATCTCAGTGGAAAAGACGCTGCGGATAAAGTGATTCCTGAATACTGCTACGGTTCAGCTGCTTCTTAGTGTGGTGAAGTTAAAGTGGATTATGGAATTTCTAAAACAGCCCAACAGTAGCAACTGTGTAGTCTAATTAAAATGGAATTTTCGCTGTCTAAAACATCGCAACAGTAGCAACCGTGTAGCCTAATTACAATGGAACTGCTTTTAGTCAGTGCCGTTATAATTTATCCTGGGGAAAATGTGTGTGTGTGTATGTGTGTGTGTGTATGTGTGAGAGAGAGAGAGAGAGAGAGAGAGAGAGAGAGAGAGAGAGAGAGAGAGAGAGAGAGAGAGAGAGAGAGAGAGAGAGAAATTGATTAATGCAGCTTTTACAATTCTAGTAATATCGCTACGATGTCGGCAGGGTAGCGGCCTGTAATGATGTCTATCACTGGGGCATGATATCGCAGGCATGTAGCATCATGTCCCACTTAGTCACATTATCTCACACAGACCAGTCCTAATGCTAACCTCTTAATGCCGAGTGCCATGCAAGGCAATTGCTAGTATCATTTTTATAAGTCTCTGGTATGAATCGGCCGAGATTCTAACCCGCGACCTCTCGTTTCCTAGACGAATGCTATATTCACTAAGCCATAATAGTACTAAGGACTCTCATGTTGAACATAAGTTACAGAAGGAGGAACATTCGCCGAATCTTAGACTCGAACCCACGCAGACAGACGTGAGATGGCAGTGGTCCGTAACAGAGAGCGCTTTAGACCACTCGGCCACTCTGGGCCCATATGTGTTGGTCGTATTGTATTTTTTTTTTAAAAAAGTCAGAGACAGGTATATTTTTTCATATTGTGTTACCATTTTCTTCTCACATGTTAATACCGGCTACATTTTATTGTCCAGTACTAAAATAATTATATTTAAACGAGTGACCAAACAACGATTTAAAACATATCGTGAATTTTTTTTGGGTGGTGTGATTCAATGAGATTAAATGTATATGTTATCAGCGCAGGGAAAAAATGTTTCCGAATATGCTCGAGAATTGAAGCTCAGAAGATTAAACTCATTCTGTGCAACAACATCTCGTCCTCTCCCTCTTTTAGTAAATTCACCTCACTTTCATAGCCTGATCCTATAAATATACGTGACGTAATAGAGCGGTAAGACTGAGCTCTCCTTATCTGTCGCAGAAATTTGACACTATCTGAAAACAATGCAAGACCAATTCAGCTATGTACAATAATGGATTTCTCGTTTCTTGTCAAGGAAACATTGGGAAATAACTTTAGATAGACGCCAACAACGTCCATAGTTCCTCATTGAACATTATTTCCGTGTATTTGTGCTAGCTAACATTGTACTCTTTTTTTGTTGCTGCAGGTACAATTTTTTGAGGCATTCACAATCAAGCGGCGCATGGCATGATGGGGTATCTTATATTTGCACATGTGAAAATATAAGGATATATTTGTCTAGTGTAAGAATATAAGGATATATTTTCCTCGTTAAAATATTGGGAAAAAACATGTTATTGAACTATGAAAAATATGTAGCAGGATCATATATTTCATAATTTTATATATTCATGTTTTAGACTGAAGTGGGCATCTTATTATTTTATATAATTAATGTTTGTTGATGTATGAAATAAAATCATCAGTTGCAATTACTGTGTTATTCTAATTTTACATATATTTAGCCAGTTAGGCAACCTTGAATCAGAATTACCTGTTCAAGTTTTGTTTGCTCTATGCAATGAAGCTAACCTGGTTACCGTTCACGCGAGTTATATTGTATGACAAGTGTTAAGTAACTTTCTGATTGGTTAGTTTGCTACTTGTCTGTATAAACAACATAGCATGAATATCATACTAGTAGTGGTCATTCTATTCAAGCTTCTGAAGGATGCTGGTCATGGGATTGCAGTAAGAAAATGCCTGACGATACTTTTTGCTTCAAGAAAACCGTGACTTGAGCTTTGCCCCATACGATAAGGTAAATATATTTATAATATAATTATTGTAACAGTTTTGTTTATATGTATTATGTATGTTAATGTATATTAGTACGTTTAATAGGTTATCAACCTGTATATTCTTTTCTAAGCCTATCATTTTGTCCATTCGCTTGTCTGTCTGTCAGCTCTACACCCTGATTGTTTTGATGATTAGGTTTAGTTGGTCTACTATCTTTCTAGATGGATGGGGTAATAAATCATTCTTACTGAATATACTGCAAAATGCACCAATGTATACAAAACAGAAAATTAATGTACTGATCATGGTATTGTTATTTATAACAGTAGTAAATGTATATTTATTGCATTTGCATGGTGTAAGAAAATGAGAAATGTATTTATATCCATTTACCAAGCTCGTTTACTATAAACCGACTTTATTATAACAAATACTGGACTTTTATTTTATGTTTTGTTAGTAGAAAAAAGTGCTGCAACAATAATTTCGCAAATACGTATGTATTTCACAAACATGTATATTGTTATTTGATCTGCGGAAATTATATGCTGATCGTATTGGAATTACTTTGATCTAAGGTTTCCACTAAGAACAATTGATTAATACATGCGTATAATAGCAATATCAAAAACAACAATGACAATAATATTAATAGTAACAACAACAACAACAATAATAATAATAATAATAATAATAATAATAATAATAATAATAATAATAATAACTATTTTTTGTTTTTTTTTTTTTATTGAAAGGAGCATGAAGTTAGATCGCATACACTATATCTGCAGTTGATGCTAATTGTTGTTGTCGTTGTTGTTGTGGGGCTTAAAGTCATTTTTAGCACACGATAGGCTATACATGGTGGCCAGTATTAATGGTGGAGGAAGAAACCGGGAAATCATCGGAAAGAACCACCGACCCAAGAGAAGCTACTGGCAAGCTTTCTCACCTATCCACATTCGCCAAATCCTAGACTCGAATCCACGGAGACAGTCGAGATGGCAGTGTTCCGTAACTGACAGCGCTTTAGATCACTCAGCCACTTCGGGCCCCGAAGTTGATGCTAATCAAATCAGTCACTCCACTTAACAAAATAAAACAGGAACCATTTTGAAAAACTGAACAAAACTGGATTAACTGAACAAAGCAAAACAAATCCTAACGCTACAGGATGGCTGAGGCCAGAGCGGCGCAAACATAGCGACATTGTGGGCCATCGAGGTCGATTTCCGGATCTCCCTGAGAAAGGCGGTTGGTGGATGCATAAAGAAGGAAAAAAGGACTTGTCTGAACCAAGGGTTTCACAGCAGAATCTGTCTTCAGTTGTGGTCTTACCTTTGACCAGGTTTGGTTTACTATGATCAAGTCCACCAAACATTACCAATGTGTACTTATGCGGGATGAACTTACTCCGAGGATCCTGAGTGGTAAATCGGAATCGTTGGACTAGATTTGAAAACAGGACCTGGAGCTCATTGGGTCAAATGCATGGTAAACCCTCAACATTTATTGTATTTTGACTCGTAGGGGCACTGTTTATTATATGGATGCTTTGCTCTATTTTGACTCATACTGGGACTGTTTATTACATGGATGATTAGCCATGTAACGAGTTTTATTAAACGTTGATGTTAAACCATGGACAGACAGACCAATATATCAGGACATCTTGTTGTTCAAGCAGTGCATGTAAAGCTTGTTCAACATCACTATAAACAATATTGGAACTTGGGAGCTACTATTGATGCATACATGAAGTATATGTTCACATTTACATTTGTTACCAAATCGTATCTGACTGATTTTACCAGCTGGGTTGTACGGATTAAAAGTTGATATAGACTTGGGCGAGCTTGTGATATTTTAAACATCAATCTAAACACTTTAAACGTCAGCATACTCGTTCTGCGCTGCGAGAAACATTTTCAAAATCAGTGAAATCAGGGGTATCATTAAAGTCTGTGGAAGTTATTAAGCATTACGTCAGCGATGCTATGTCACCAAACAATATGTGGCTGTATAGGCGACTTAAGCCTTGCCCTTGCTAATACGTGTAGTAACCTTATAAAGCACTTGGAATTTTAACCAGAGAAACTAAAATGGAAAAGAGATGGTGTTTGAGTACTTAACCGTCTTTGATGTGTGTGTTTAGGTTTTATAATAAAGAGATTATATTTAGCAGTAAGTGGTGATAATGTTGTGGAATCAGCTGACGTGGTCGTGGATGAGAAGACATCGGATGCTTTCCTTTGTAGCAGCTATGTTACTTTTGTCGAAGGTATCTGCTTGGAAATGGTGTTGCATCATATACACTAAAACATAATATACGCTAGGGTCAGATAAAAATCGACCGTTGTGACCATAAAGTAGAAATGATGAGTCGCAAACTCCACAACCAGATGTAAAAACACTCAAGAATTGCTGCTCAAACATTTTTACTGAATAACAGTCAACATCTTTATCTTAGTTGAGTCAGCGATGGCGGTGCGATATAATCGGTATGGAATATAACCTGTGTGGATCTTCCCATAAATGTCAACACAATTTTGATCACAACTGCCACATTGCGACATACTTTATCCCATTTGCCTACAGTGTGTGCAGTTTTGTATTTTTTATATTATACATGTGAACATGTTACTTTATGTGACTCTGATTGGTCCAAATAAGCCCATGAATTGTTTGGGCAGTATTATCTTTGCTGACTGGCTGCGATCATTGGATAGCTTTTTAATCCCCTTCTGGAATTTGTTTTCATTTAACATTTTTGGTAGCCATTTGGGATTCGACTCTTGAAAGAGAATTTGGAAAAAATAAGCTCGTCTGTTTTAATACTGCCAATGTACCACCACAGGGGTTTGTCATCTATAACATATCACAAAATGAAAAATGGTGAAATCCCCAACAGAAGAAGAATAACAAGTAAAACTAACAGTATTGCTTAGATGATAATGAGTGTGGGTGTGAGGATGGACGAGAGGTGTTATATGTAGCATGGAATCCACCGTATATACAAGATTGGTTTAAATATGAACTTACCGATGTAAATAAACTCAGCTTTGTTCACAGAAGAATAGACATAAACTAGTCTCCCAACTGACAACTTTATCTAACCACAGCATATTTAAGCTGTAAATATGATATGCAATTCTGACAACAAAAAAATTGTTTACGTCTTCTGTACAATCTAATGTTCCAAATCGAATACTGCAAATATCCTTTCACAAACACATTACAGCAGATAGGTTTATTTCTGCATCCAGTAATCATCTTTTCACAAAAATATCGCAACAATGTAATATTTTATTGTGATGTGAAATTTTAACTGTGCACTGTATGAAACAATGTAACATAGTACGCATTTGACATTTTGTGTTGACAAATGTTTTGTCTCTTGTAAACTGTTCTATTTGGATGGGCGCTCATTCTTTAATTTATTGTTATCAAAAATGTGTAATATACTTTTTCCTATTTCAACTTATTTTTTGAACTATTTTTTGCGCACAACAAATGAAAGGTACAGCGTCTGTCAGATCGAACGAACTTATTCGTTCTTAAATCTAAATAATTTGTACTGAAATAAAACTGCGATAAAAAGACTCTCAAATGGGTAATGATTTAATATTAAATTTATGAAACTCGTTAAGTAATAACCAGCTTTT